ATGGAGACAGATCGAACAGCCAGTCACACTTTATCAGCTGCAGGTGAATCATTAGAAACATAGTTCACAGCTGTCGGGATATTTTTATTTCAATGTTGGTATAATCACGAATGGATGCGATTTTCAGTGTTTAGGAAATCAACTATTTGGTACAGTCGTGACTCGATAATCCGACACTAAATGTAAAACCTTCTTTTATGTTGGATAGCAAGGCTGTCGGATTGTCAAGACGGAGGTCGAGATACAAGGAGGGCTTGATGCCTGAAGGGCAATACTGTTGTTAGTATTTATTCTTCATAGCTGTTATGATAACTAGAACACTACGCAACGCTGGACTTCACACCTAACAGAGCGCTCCCCGGGTGGAAGTGGCCGGAACGCACAGGCAGCACTTGGCTGCTGATGCCAGTTTAGTTCGCGGCCACACTTCTGTTTCCACCATCGGCGGTGTCAGCGGCGGGGGAGTGGCAGATAAGCTCCACCGATACCATCTGTGTTTACTTCCACAAACACTGAGCACGCTCGCAGCGTGTGACGTCGTCGTGTCCTCTTCTGCGCATGCGGGACACTTTTGGGTCGTATGAAGTTCACACAGCAGATCACATACAAGTCGCATTTAATTGGAAATGCGAACGAACTCACAAAAAAAGGGGTTTCTGAAAAAAAATCCAAATTGAGCATTAAGTCCTGCAGTCTGAACGTAGTCAATCTGTGGGATTGTTCAGTCAGATAATACGCCGTTATCCTGATTTGTGACATAAAATGTCATGTCGGAGTCAGAATCCAAGGCTGTCGGTATGTTAAGGCTATTATTTATGGGTTCTGTTCGCTTTTCCTAAAAACCTGTCAGATAGCAAGGTTTTCAGATTGTTAAGGGTCAAATTATCAAGTCATGACTGTATTTGGGCATTTTGATAAGCTGGTTGCATTATTATGTGTTATGCATCACGTGATGTTCTGGCAAGTTGTGTATGAAAAATCTTGTCCTGTGATGAGTCTGATTGAAGCTGTGAACAACATTTAAAGTGAGTCTGAATGACAGAATGCCGTTGCTTTAACAGAACGATGAATGTTTCACATCACACGTCTGTAAAGGGTGTAAGAATTCTATGTTTGCAACCGAACAGGCTGCAGTTGTGGCAAATACATTTGTTAGGAAAATGGTTTTGTGCAACAACTTAAATATAATTGTTTCTGGTAAATTCACTACAACATTCTAATAGAAGACATCTTACCTTCTGGAGCGACATGAGACGGTAGTGTGTTCCTCCTGGCAGTATATTGTTCTCGCAGTGATTGAGCTGGTTATTCCCCGTTGGCTCAGTCTTAGCCAGCTGTTCCTGTGTTCCACAAACGAGGCGGCATTTTGAGCAGATTTCCAATCTTTTGCCGCATCGATGGATCTAAAGCAGCTACAGACGGGTGAAATTACAGCTTCAGACTGGAATGACTGGAGTGTGCAGACGTTTTCCTCCTTAAGTAGCCACCGTGGCTGTAAAGAGTAATGGTAGTGGTGGTGCTTAAAGCGGGAGGTGTTTAACATATAATGATATTAGCAGAAGAAGAAAAGCACCGTTTAAACATTTAGACACTTAAATTAAAGTGAGGACATTTTAAAAAATAATGTCATGAATATGGAATAGTTTTTAATTATCAATTAACCTCATATTGAGTGCAGTAAAACATACAAAACTAAATCATGAAACTGTGTGGATTTATAGATGGTAAGTTATATAGTTTACCTATTTTAATTCATTTCTAATTAATAGTAATATAATTTGTCAGTAATTTAGGTGAACCGATCCTTTAAATAGGAAAATAGGAAAGGCAAAAAGTCCCATAACACTTGAAATAAATAGTAATGATCAGCCTGAATCTGCTGACTGTGTAGCTTATTTATTATTTTCTCAACATTAAAAATTCATGTGCAATCATAATGTATCTAACTGGAACAACTTATGGTGGCGTGGAATGTGTTTTTTATCGTTTCTCGCCTAGCTGTTGCTATTCTGGTACTTACTTTAATGATAAAGAGGTCATGTTCTCTACGTAGTTATGTCAACCATCCACAACCACTGCAAAGTTCCCGCTGTGCGACTGTGAAAACAGAAGAATCTCGGTAACGAAGCACGACGGGAAAAGTATTGAGACCTTGATGAACAGATCACACTTGTGTAAATGGAAACATAATCCCAACTACTGTGACTCAACGTGAGGGCGACGGCTTTGTCACAGGTTAATTAACTGCTTGACAGAAAAGTATACGACGTCATTTACAGCTAGAGCCAGTCTCCATGTTGGGGATCATGTAGAAGTCGCCTGATTTTTAACACTGTTGTAACACTAAATGTGCTCTCAGCTTAAAGATCCTGGATCCTACTGCTGTATGACGCTACAGGCATTTCATAAACTTAGAGGAAAGACTCCTAAACAGCTGGAAGCAATAAACTAAACTTCTGTTTGTCAACAAAAAACCTTTTAGTCTCATCAGTCTCACCTGTTACAGACTCTGTCTTTGTTGCAGTGAAGTTTTTTTCATTATGTAACGGATGCAAGACTATTGAAAAAATTAAAGGAAGCAACAGTATTTTTGATGTTCATGGACCAGTGGGCTGCAGTTGGGTAGCACTGTTGCCTTGCAGCAAGAAGGTTGCGTCCCGGTGAGGACACCCGGAATCTTTCTGTATGGAGTTTGCATGTTCTCCCCATGCAGCGTGGGTTCTCTCCGGGTTCTCCGGCTTCCTCCCACATAGTCCAAAAACATGTTGCGGTTAATTGGTGATTCTAAATTGTCTGTAGGTGTGAATGTGAGTGTGCTTGGCTGTCTGTCTCTAAGGGTAGCCCTGCGATAGACTGGTTACCTGTCCAGGGTGTCCCCTGCCTTCACCCTGAGTCAACTGGGATAGACTCCAGCCCCCCATGACCCTCGTAAGGATTAAGCGGTGTATAGATAATGGATGGATGGATGTTGTTGTTTCAGCAGACAGAAGTGTTGACAGTTCTTTCACCTGTTTAAGTGTTAAATTTGATATCCGTTTTTACAAAACATATTAGAAATCTGATTGTCTTTTTGTTCTGTATCTTCACCTAAATACAGTTTGCTTTATGTGGATCCTGAAAGTGCAGAAGTGAAGCTGTTACTTTGAGGATGCCTCATACTTCTACTCAACTATATTTTAGTGGAAAATATGGTATTTTTTATTTATTTATGTTGTTTGCCTTTATTTTACTAGGTCGGTTAATTGAGAACTGCTTCTCATTTTCAATAATGACCTGGTCAAGAGGCGGCATACAAACAAGACAAACAGGAAAAACAGATTGCATGTACACCAATTCACACAACATTACAACACAAGTTACGCAAAGACTTATACAATAGAGAGGCTAAAAACAGGTGCAGTGGTTCTGAAGTGTTGCTGTAACTGATTATTACTCAGCGACATTTATCTGACAGCCATAGTTCCTAGAAACTATGCTACGGCACTTAATAAAAATGCTACGTAGAATAAATTGTATGTTTTAACTGATTGACATTGGTTAGTATAAATCTGTTATCTAAAAGGCTTTTATGTAAATTCCTGCCAAAAAAAAAAAAAAGCCAAATTAAATGGATCATTGTTCAACGTAAAAAGCAACTAAAGGGGAAAACATCCAAGCTTTCATAGACACCCTTTATCCGTGTTGTACCGTAGTTCCGAGTTAGCCAGTTAATCGTTTAAGACGTCTTCACACTTCACGGTTGGATTTTCTGAGCTGTGACGAATCTTATTAAATCAACTGAATAAATATGAGGTGTGTACTGTTGGTAAGGAAAACAAGATATTTAAAGATGTTTCCTCGAGCTCTTTTGACTTTTCTTGTAATGGAAACCCGACTGGATGATGTTGAGCTCGTGGCTCTGTGGAGGCCACGCCATCTGTTGCAGGACTCCTTGTTCTTGTCTTAACACATCTCTCTCTGACTCTGGCTGTACGTTTGATGTCCTTTTCTCTGCAATTTCTACCGAAAGAACTTATGAAAAATGATTCAATGCAGAACTGAAAGCGTGTTTAGGATAGATCACTACTTATCGATACAATACTTATACTCTAGTACATTTATTTGCTGCTCCGGTTCCTCGTTATTCTTTGATGTGTTTCATTTAATCAGTTGATCATTTTAGCCGTTTTCATGCAAACATTTCAAACATTTTTATGGTTCCATGTTCTCGAATGGAATGGTTTAATTAAATTACAGTAAACAGAATACGTTTGAGGTTTGTAAGCAAAACAAACATTGTGGCTGGGGGGTGCATACCGTCTGTTACCGGACTCTTGTTGCTGAGGAGACTTCTTTGTGACTCCAACTGTATATTTAGTGGTGTGCTTCTCTTCCTGCACAATCTCCACCGAGGCAGAGAAACACTTGTGAGAAATAATTTAGCGCAAAATGGAAATTGCATGTAAAATAAGAATAATTAACAGGTAGATAATCGGAATGCTAAGAGTCCGGTGTGATTTAAGAGCCAGGTTAATGTTGTCCACAAACTGTGAGGATGATAGGATTTGAAGGAGGATATTTGCCTGCAGGAGGTTGTATTTTTTCTTTTTTTTCATTTGATTAAATTATGTTTTTTTGAACCAGCAGTTGCTTCTTTTGCTACAGAAAGATTAAAAATAAAACAAGTCACGTATTTTAATTCATCGTGAAGCCGCGCCGTGCTCACACAGCGGCTTTCATGCAGCGTTTGTAGATGTGTATAGTTTGTGTCAGGATGGGATTAGGTTGAGTGAATATGTGAGCGATGGATTGCTTGTGTTTGCCTGGGACTTTGTGTTTGTGCGATTCTGCGCTCTATGTATAAAACCTGTTTGCCAAAGAGGAATGTGGGATTTCATGCAGCCCTGCTCTGTGAGGGTCACAAATCTGTTTCTCTTGTCACAGCACACTTACTGCAGGAAGAAACACTTTCCCTCTGTGTGAATCTGCGCCATCACCAACCCTTTTCTGTGTCCCCCCAGGTGTGGTATCTCTCCGGCTGGGTGTGTTACCTCCAGTGGGAAAAAGCGAAGGAGCAGCAAGAAAGGGAAGGAAGGGAAGTGACGGAGGAGGAGAAGGAGGAGTGGAAGGCGTTGACGGAGGCGGCCAGGTCGTACCTGACGAATGCCAAGAAGGTAAATTTAGGTCAAGATGACCTCATCATGCCTAATCTTAAACCTAATGATGATGATCCAGTAAAACCTGGTGAATAGCTCACTGTTGGTTCCGCTACATTTAGTTCTAGCTGATGTGGTTCCGAGTTATTTAATCGCTCCTGATAAATCATTCAATCATTTTTGCCATTTTCATCCAAAAACAATCCAAACATTTTATGGTAAGATCTGTCTTAAACCACAGTGAACAGTTAGATAAAACAATCATTTGAAGATGTCAGTTTGGGCCTTAGGTCATTGTGATGGACATTTATGTATATATACATATATACACATAAAAAAAACAGGGCTGGAATGCGTGTTTTCTTTAAAATAATCCTCAAAATTGCATCATTTATCGGAGCAAGAAACTGTAAAAACAGAAAGAATGTTTGGGTTTTCAACTTCCCAGTGGTTCCTGAAGGAATCATGTGTGAGGCACAAAAATGACCAAAAATAAAATTCTGAGATTTCAGTTTACTTACATGTCTCCTTCAAAAATTTACCGCAAAAAAAATTCTGAGACTTTTCGGCTGAACTGCAGGCTGTGTTTACGTAGAGCAGAGAGGACATGGCAGGAAAGATACTTTATTACTTGAGCAATAAAATAAATGCAGCATGGCTCAAAGACAGTATACAGAGGAGGTTGTTGAGTGATACATTCAGCACGGTGAAACATCTCTGTAAGATATTTTGTACAGAATTTAAAAATGCACATAGTAAAACATCTGTTGTATGTAGAGACTCCATTTTTGTCCAGAACTCATAACATCTGGGGGCAGCTGGATTTAAAAAAAATAAAAATTTTGTAAAATAAAGAATTCCATCATATTCAACTTGATTTTTTTTATTTTTTATTTTTTTATGGTTTAAGGAATTTTCGGTGTGTTACATTGCAAAAAAAGACATTTTGGAGTTCTCTCGACTTCCAGCAATGGTTGTGCTGTTTCCATGGAGGTACAGGAGTTTATTCTGCAGTAAAGAATGAGCCCACAGTGAGGAAAAAGGACCAAAAACAAAAATCACAGAGTTGATTAATTTGGAGTTTTTGGCATTTTCATTCTCATATTACCAACATTTTCTGGAATTATTTGTCTTGAAATTACAGTAAACAGATTCATTTTAAGGTTTGTTCTGTCATTTAAGCAGAAGGTGGAGTTGTGATGGACATGTCTTACTGTTTTCTGAACATACACAAACAAAACTAGCAAGAAAATATCCAACAGTTGAATCTGTAATGAAAGCAGTTTGTGTTGCAGCCCGGTACAGATTAGTTAAAAACAACCAGCCAGAATTAAATGCTACTTATATGTTTATTCAATGTATATAATAATAATCCACTGATAAGTAATAATGCGTAGTTTTCTTTTGATACTTCAAGTATATTTTCCTCATAAAACCTAGTTATTTCCCTTTTGAATGCCAGATTTCTACTTGTAATTGAACATTTTATACTGTTGTCTGGAAATTATACTTCGGTACATTCTCGATACTGTGCGCATAGCAACTGTGAGTACGGATAGTCACATCCAGTACACTGCCACAATAGGTAAGTCTCCTAAGAACTGGTTCTTGTCAGAGAAGAGGTACACGCAGTACCGCGAATACGAGAAGATCCTAACTAAGCTTCATTGTTGCCACAGAAATGTCTTTGTATAATCTCAAAGACATTTAAATGTGCCCCTCACTCGCTTCCCCATCTCCCCTCACGCGCACTCGCACTCGGAGTGATGTGTCTCATTCATTCTGTCATTCTGTCAGAGAGTAATGCCTCCGTGGAGCAGTGATTCATGTTAGTCTAAAATCCAATGGGCTTGTAAATCAGACAGCACAGACTGAAGGATGGCAGGCCCCACCTCCAGATTTTTTTTTTCTCTCTTCTCTTCTCTCTTCTCTTTACTTTCCTCTCCTCCTCACCTCCCAACCTCCTCCTCTCCCACCCCGTCGTGTTCTTCTAGAGATGAGCTTAGTGGCGATATATTGATGTGTGTCTCTCTGTCCGGCAGTGCAGTGACAGGCCTGTCTAACCAGTGTCCACAGGGGATGTCCACCGCTGAGACGGGAGCGAGGTGGGCTCGATCTGCCAAGAGGGAAAAATGGAGGGAGTGAAAAAAACTGTGAGGAGGAGAAAAAAAAAAAAAAAAGCAAAACGCGTGCATATAGATTTGAGCTGCCGGCTTTGTTGTGAGAGTTAATAAAGAAAAAAAAATAACAAATTGAAAAAGATGGATTTGAGAAATGGGTTGAATTAAGTACCATTTTTGCATGGAGAGAATGCAAAGAAATGAAAAAAAAAAAAAAAAAGCTGGTAAAAAGAATTGGGCGAGGCGTCAGAGCGTGACAAGTAAACAGCATAGCAGTTTCTTTGTGGAGTGACTGAAGCAACAGGCGCAGAATAATGTGAAAGGTAAATGCACAAAGACCTTGAAAAGAAAGGTGAGGTGGAATGTGCAGAGAAAACAGTCCTGCTCTCGCTGCATTTCATTCTACAGCTCGGCTTTTTTCTTCCCTCGCATGTGTGCGTGCATCTGTACGTTATATAGTCGAGTTCCCCCCCCCCTACCCCTTGTTTATATCAGAGCTTTGTTTCTGAGCATTACTGAGAGTGTTAATTATTAACGATGAGTCAGTCTGCTAGTTAAAATGGGCTCCAACATGGAAATGAGGCCTCAAAGCCCAACGGCTTGTTTTGGCGCCAGTCCACTTCTCTGCATACTTTATGACTTTGCTAAGTGTGTGCGCGCACGTGTTCGCAGTGCGAGACAGTGAGAGAAAGCATGCGGGTATGCGTAGGCGCACCTTATGTGGATGCACATATTTAATTAGGGTGGTGTGTGCCAACTTGCATCTCATTATTTGTTCGGAAACGTCTTCATTATTCATCTTTTCTCTGATCGATACGCGCACGCACACACGCGCGCACGGCGCATTCAGCTGAGATGCTCAAAAGAGGAATGATAGGGAGAAATGGATGGGTCGAGAGGACAGGAAAGACGGCAGGAGGGTGAGCAGGAGTGGGAGAGCGAATGTTGGGGGGAGGAGGGGAACAAATTGGATGTGGTGTGTGTGTGTGTGTGTGTGTGGGTGCAGGGGGTGTAGCTGGTGAATAGTGGCGAGGGTAAAATCAATAGTAAACCGGACGTGAAATGGAATTTGAGTCTCGGCCAGATAGGGTGCGATTGAGGAAGGATCTGCAGTGTATGCACAGAGAACGACAATATATATATATATATATGCGTGTGAATGTGCACGGAAGCAGCAAGGCGGCTAGGGCACACGGAGGTCAAAAGCTTTACTATTTGAAGTGGCTGAAAGGGTATCCCATGAGCATGGATTGTGGCGAGGGTTGGTCCAAGGTGTGCTTGTCATGTAATTTTAATGCCTTTCCCTGCAAGGATGTGACTGGAGGTGTTGGGTTTTGTGTGTGTGTGTGTGTAGGTGTGTGTGTGTGTGGGTGTGTGTGTTTGCAAGTTTGCAGTCAGCCCTCTTGAGACTTCCAGCGACATGCCCTGTTCACACTCAAGAAGCTCTAATCTCAGCTACTGTCACACCCTCGCAAGCCAAGCAGCGTGTTTACGTTTCGGACGACAGCGAGACGGAGAAGTGGAAGAATGTGTTGAGACTAATTTGCGCTCTCTGGCTAATGAAGAGATGCACTTGAAGGAGTGCTGTGTTTGGTCTAAAAAAAAAAAAAAAAAGGGACGAGGAGAGCCTGATTGTAGATACAAAGAAAAACTTGAAGAGGAAGGCCACGGTACTTCTGTGCCACGACGTGTGTGTGTGTGTGTGAGCGTAAGTGTGCGGATGAGAGCGAGAAGACGTATCTATCTCCTTGACAGGAAGGTCATTTGGCGAGAGTGTACGAGTGTGATTGAAAGAAAGCAAAAGGGAAAGTGCACTGAGGGAGACAAGCCGGGAGAATGAAGGTATTAGCAAATCAAATAAAAGAAAAGGTGAAATGAAAGTGGAATTTAAGCATAGGTGTGGAACAGAAGGTGAACAATGATGGAATGATTAGGCTTTTACCACATATTCAGTCTGTCTTTTTTTTTTTTTTCTGCCTTATGGCTTGTGGAAAAAAAGATTTCTTCCAAGAAGTGAAGGGAAAATAATATGTTTTTTGCATAAAGGATATCTAAGTACTTATTGTTTCCTTTGTCTTCTTCACACTGGACAGTTGTACAGATATAAGACTAGTAATGTATTCTAGACCATACAATAGATGCATACAAAGAAAGGAGGCTCGAATTAAAGACATTCAGTCCACAATGGAAGTGAGTGAGGTGTCATTTAAATGTCACATGATTCAAAATTGTGTCACCTTACAGTTATTACAGAAAATACAGGGTCCAGGTAGAAGCTGTGAATGCACCGGTAATCAAGCAGACAGTCTGTTTGAGTCCACCCATAGACTGTATAAAAGATGGACGTAGCTGCCGTGACGTCACCCGTTGGTTTCTGCACTGAGAAAACGAAGCCAGGGTTTTGCTACTTCCTGGTTGACATCTTGGATTTTTGGAGCCAGTGACCCAGGGGGGTGGAGCCATAGGAGCAGCGATTGGTCAGACAGATTGAGAGACAGGCCCTCTCTGCCCGCCCACATTTACCACCTTTTGCTCGCTTCATCTGTATTGTTGCTGCCAACTGTCAGTCAAGCCAGCCACGCCCCTTGCCCCGCAAAATGTTGATGATTTTTTAAAAATTCAGTATTGATTTATTTTCAGATTGGTCACCTGATCTCTGGACTTGACCATGAAAACTAATTTAAAAAAAATCCTGAGCTGGAGGAATGCAGTATTTCGTGACCTGTGATCACTTCTTT